AAACCTCCCCCCCCCCCCCCCCGGCTTCCTGATTGGCCGGGAAGCCGGCTCCATGCTCCCTCGTCACTTGGCGATGAGGGAGCATGAAGTCGGCTTCCTGGTCAATCAGGAAGCGAAGCGCCGTGGAATGACTTGCTGCCACTCATGAAGCCAGGCGGTGAGTCATTACCTGCCCCCCAGCTTCCTGATTGGCCAGAAAGCTGGTGACAAGGGTGCATGGAGACTCTGCTTCCCTGCTTATCGGGAAGCTGAGTGGCGAGTCATTACACGCCACCTGGCTTCATTAATGGAAATTCTGGTATCGGCGAGTACCAAAAAAACCAGATACTCGATACCGAAAAACTGTTATCTTTGCATCCCTAGATAAGAATGAACTTACCAGACTAGGGAGGGACCACAGCTTGCAAGACCTCACCCAAAGGCCTGATTGAAACTTGAAAAAAGATCTAGCAGATGATGAAAAACAAAAAAAACAAAAAGGGGAAAGCTTGACCACATAGCGTACTTGCAGATGTGCCCCAGCATGGCACCTGCCCTTTCTGCCCACAAGACAGCCAAAGCCCTTGCTGAATGTGCAGTAATGAGGAAAATGCGACACCCTTTGATGTAGGCCATTAGACAATGTCTGACATCCAACGAATGAAAACACTCTTCTCCTTCATTAGAGGGATTTGCACAAAAAGTTGGTAGTACAATATCCTAAGACCTGCGGAATCCTGCACCACAAAGCAACTGTTGAGTACAATATGGTCATCAAACACTGAGGGCTTGTTCACACCAAGCGCGGAGCAGATCCAGAGCAGTTGCAGACCAGATCAAAACTGCGTCCAATGTATTCCAATGGTATTTTTTGCTCCAGTTCACATCGCAGCGTGCTGTTGCAGACCAGATCCAGAGCAGGTGAAAAAACTGCAGCAGACCCTATTTATTTTACCTGCTCTGGAACGCATAAAAAACACATGCCAATGCCTGGAACACATTGGAAGCCCATTTTAGACTTAAAATTTTTTTTTTTTACATTTTTTTACCAAAAAGAGCCCGGAACGCATCAAAAAACGCGTCTAAAAGACGCGTGTGCAGAAACCTGACCAGATCTGCTCTGCATTTGGTGTGAACAAGGCCTTAAAAGAAGGGCTATTGATTAGAAACCGCATGAATCTGATATTCGTCGGGCAGCAGAAGTCACAGCCACCAAAAGGCATGTCTTTACGGTTAAAAACCAAATGGTGGCTTCTCCAACAGGCACAAAAGGAGGCCTTGCAAGAAAACTGACAAGTACTGGGACACCCCCAACTCAGACAGCTGCCGATAGTACCTTATGACCCAAACTAGCATCGGCCGAGCCCCAAAAATCCACCTGCAACACTTTGTAAATGTGTGAATAGAAGACCAGGTGGCAGCCTTACGAATCTGAACAGCAGAGTCTTGATGCCAAAAAGCCCCAGAGGCACCTTTAGAGTAAATAGAATGTGTTCTTAGCAGAATAGACGCGCACAATGACCTGTGGAATCCACTCAGAAATGGTAGAACGAGTACATGGCGGTCCTTCAGGAAGGACAAAGAGGCAATCAGATTGCCGGAAAGAAGCTGTACCCGAGAGGTAAACTTGTACGCCCAAAACACATCTAAGAAATCAAGGGCAACCTCCTTAGAATGTTTCGAAGCACAACAAAAAGAGGAAAGGGCGATGTCCTGTACCCGCAGATGCAGCAGTGCCGTCCGTCCGTTTGTTTACTACGGGCGGACGGCAAGAGGTTAAGGAAGGACACTACTTAGGCAGAAAAAGAATCGCTAGGCTTAAGAAAAACCTTAGTGGTTGGGAAGTGACCACGGGGAGTCCACCCGAAGCAAAACTCAGGGCCGGATTAACATAGGGGCGGGTGGAGCTCCCTCTACAGGCTCTGCAAATAGGCGCCGCCGGGCCAAGCTGATCGAACTGACACTGGAGCCTGCACTGACCCTCCCCAGAGCCCTGCATCCAGTGACCAACTGGAAATCCATCATGCCACTAAAGGTCTCACCTGCTGAGCTGTGTCAGATGGCGAGTTGGATCAAGAACAAGGAACAGTTCCATGTATGATAATGTTGCCAATTCTGAAATCCTCCTAGCAGAGGTGATGGTGACAAAGAAAGCCACCTTGCGCATAAGATCCATCAAAGATATATCAAAAGGGAGCTTGTTAGAGAGAAGAAAGCACCAGCATGAGATCCCATGGCATCACTGAAGGGTGTCTAGGGAAGTCACATGGGCAACTCTTGTACAAATGACTTTACCAAGGAATAAGTAGCCAGCAGCCACTGATTACCCTACCATTCAGGATCTACGATCTGTTGCCCTGTGTCCTTCAATGAACGGGAGAGAAATAGAGGGGCCAAGCCAAAATCTGTCCGAGAGTGCCCAGGACATGCGGATCCAGTCCTGACTGAAGGAAGGCCACAAATCATCCAAGACAGTACTTCTAAGGATGAAACTTCCACTTTTTGCACAAGGCAAAGCAAGACCTTGAGGTGCACTGGTACACCTTTCGAGAGGTGGACTTTCTGCTATGCAAGACTGTAGGAATGCCAGAGTCAGACAGACTTCTATCCCTCAGGACTTGGGATTCAATGGCCAAGCTGTCAAATCCAGCAACTGAGAAACAGGATGGAGCAACAGACCCTGAGACACAAGGTCCAGGCGGTCTGGAAGCAGCCAAGGGGAGTCCACCAGAAGCCAGAGAATGTCTGTGTACCAGCACTCTTCTGGGCCATTTGGGAGCCACATGGATCTGTGGAATGCCCTCCGCCTCAGGTCCTGAGAAGCAGATAAGGAAGGATCATCAAGGAAGGAAAGGCATAGATCAAAGAGAATTGATCCCGTGGAGTCACCAGGGCATCCACCGCGAGGGCTCGCAGATCTCTGGAACAGGACAATCAGGGGCAGACATATAAAGCATCGATATGTCATACCTATGGCTAGAACACCAATATGCTTTGTGATTCTTAAATAAAGCTTCATTGCTGTTGAAGATCACATGACAGGGCTCTCATACAAGCATCTTCATGCAGAGAACACACTGGTGTCGTCCCTTTCACAAATAGTCCACACTGCTACCCGCTTTTTAAGTTTTATTTATAGAGTGGAAACATAATTCATAAATGGGTTATTTAATTGATTAAAAAAAAAAAAAAAGTTAATTTGAAAATATTTTTGCATAGATTTAAGCAACAAAAATCAGTCATCTGTGGTACAATACTCACCACCAGCAGCACGTCCAGTATCCATATTGTCAGTGAAATACCGATCTCTTTTCTGTAGAAAGTACGTACAATAATGTGAACCTGTTACTCATATAAAAGACAACTTGGTAGCTTAAACTAACATTAAATCTAGGATGAGGCAGATAGGACAACAATCTGTATGGTTTGTAAGATTCCCCACATTTTACTGGGTTCATGCCAATAACCTCTACTTAGCATCCTCTCCCCAACCTCTACTCCCCTTCTTTGCACCCCCCCAACCTCTATTTCCCTACTTGGCACCCCCTAAAAGCTTCAGTAAAACTGTCTTGCCTGATATCTTCTGGCATCGAGGATGATGGTTTTGTTATCATTGGATGACGGCTTCTCTTGTGGCATTAGGCTGGGCAAGTGGGCTGATGTAAGTGTCACACCATAAACGGAGGCCAGGGATTTGCTGATACAGTAGCTGAAATGGGCAAAAAGAAAATTGTAGAAGCTTAAAACCCAAGTACAGTGATCTCAATATAAGGCCCCATTCACACCTATGCGTATTGTAATATGCGCGTCTGTTGCACGACCGTCACGCGGTTTTTTTACCGCGATTCGCGGTAAAAAAGTCGCGCGATTCCAAAGGCTACTTGGCAGTATACAAATGGAAAACGCCCTACAAAACGGACCAATACGCAGCAAAAAACGCTCCGGGACCTTTTCATGCGTGGCCCGTTTTGTAGTGCGTTCGGGACGGGCGGAAATACGGACAGGTGGGAACGATACCATTGACTACAATGCTATTTATTTTTTTGACCGCTTTGTAGAGCGTTCATCGAGCGTAGGACGCGCTACAAAACGGTCAGGTGTGAATGGGGCCTAAAGGCTTGTATGTGGTACACCGTTTTATTACGGCCCTGCTCCGTTTAACCACTTGATGACCGGGGCCTTAAATACCCTTTGTGGCCAGGCCATTTTTCAGTGTTCAGCGCTGCGGTACTTTGACTGACATTTATTCCGTCATGCAGCGCTGTACTGAAATACATTTTATACCATTTTTTAGGGATACATAGAGCTTTCTTTTGGTGGTATTTAATCACCACTGGGGGTTTTCTATTTTTTACTATATAAAGAAAAAAAAAGTTTTCCCTACGTTGGGTTTTGAAACATCTTTATTTTACCAAAAATGTGGGTAATAAAAAAAGGATGGTGACATTTCTGATATTAACCCGACGTAACTAGATAACTGCCGCACTGAAAGATGGGTGCTGAAGCGACCGTGGATGGCGCCGCACTTCACAATGTATATCAGAAATGTCACCAGCACACCAGTGGATAGTGTTAAAAAATAAAGCGTATTTTATTGACTCATTTGTCGCATCCAAAATTTCGGGACGTTGCAATTTTTGATGTGACAAATATGCGTGAATGAGAGACGCTTTATTTTTGAACACTATCCACTGGTGTGCCGGTGACATTTCTGATATACATTGTGAAGTGCGGCGCCATCCGCAGTCACTTCAGCACAAGGTAAGGAGTGCGGCAGTTATCTACAGTTACGTCGGGTAAATAAGACACCAAACATGTCGAGCTTTAAAATTGCCGGTGCCCGCGAAAACCAACATACCCAAACTTGGCCATAGGCGACGCTTTAAAAGCTTTTACCTCCCATCAATTTACAGCGATTGATGGCCCTAGAATTATTGCTCTCACTCCGACATTCGTGGTGATATGTAACATGTACACCGGAATTGTCGTTTTCCCACATAGGCGCACACAAAAACAAATTACATTTTTGGTTATTTTAATTGGGGTTTTTTTACACTTTTTATTGCCATCACAAAGGGGGCTAAGAAGACAGTGATAGGTCCTCTTTATGGAGACATCAGGGATCTCCAAGACCCCTAATATGTCACCTAGGGACCCCCAAAGAAGCTGATGAACCAGTTTCTCTCTGGCTACTGAAACTGGAGAATGACAGCTGAATGCGGAAGTGATGTAATACACATCACTTCCGTATTCAGAGAGCAGTGTGCTGATCTCCCTCTGATCACAGAGCCGCCGTGCTGGTCCCGGGCCCGTACGGGCCACAGCAGAGCCCGGGATTGGTGGCGGGGGTTAATGGGGCAGAATGCATCATATGAGCGATCGAGCGGCTCTACAGCTGCCTGAACGCTTGTATGTAAACAGCCATTGCATTTAATTACAATGGCCAGATGTAAAGGTAGTTAATTAAAATATAAAAAATAAATTAGAACATGTTATTCATATCTGACAATTACAGAATGAAACAGATGCCAAGTGCCATCCCCAGAACGAAAGCTTTTTTGTGTGAATGAAGTCCCCAGCCTGTATGTGATTAAATGATCTGAAACAACATTTAAAAGGTTCCCAGTTGTTAGTGGGGACCAAACTGTCACTGATAGCCCGGTCTACACAGGAATCAGCCGACAGTGTGTCAAATGACAGGATCCTTCACCACAGGGTTTTGTGCAGGGGTATGTTAACCTACAGACTGCGTGTGGGAAGGGGTTAATACAGCAATGTTTATACACTTACGTAACTTTCTTGCAGCTGGCAAGAGCACAGTACCACATGTCATTCTCCTCATGCCATTTGCACCTGTCAAGACATAATTATGCAAGACTTTACCAAAAACAGTCAACAAATGTCTATATAAAAAGAGTTCAAAGAAAAGTCAAATTTGGAGAGCGCACTTCGGTGGCCGGGGCGGTCTAGGTATTGAAGGCTGGTGAGCGGCTCCTCGGAAAATCAGACCCGGGTGTCTGTTGTGTATCCAGGTAAAACCAAAAAGAGAAATCGGAGCGCCACAACCTAGCGCAATAAAGGTAGGTTACATTTACACACATTGTCTGCTATATTTTGGTTTTCCCCCCTCTCAATTTGGTACCGGATCCTTCTTCCCCACCCGGAGGACCAAGTCTAGTCCCTCGCAGTCACCGGATGACCCACCTTACACCACTCCTCAGTCAAAAATTGCTAAGCTTCCTTCAAAGCCCGCCACATGTGACTGCATATCAGTGAATATTGTGTTGTCCCTTCAAAACCCACCTTATTGCTCTAGGTTGTGGCGCTCCAGTTCACTTTTTTTTTTGCTTTTCCACCAAATGTCTATAGAAAGAATTTGTGTTCTTCTCAGATGAAGCAAGATCACCTCAATATGAAAGCAAATGTCTGAAATTCTTGGGAGCCAAGTGACGAAATCTTGTAAGACTACAAAATTCCCCGATCATACCTACTTGGGACTTGAAGTTGCTAACTAGGCTTGGTACCTGGTGTTGTCGGCGTAATCCCAATGAACGCTATCCAGCAGCCGAATAACAGTGGGTTTGGAAGGCTCTTCACCGAGTTTGTCTCTATAGTATTTCAGTATTAAACTCTCTATATCCAACAACTCAAAACGATTGTCCATTCCTGCAATACACAGGGTGAGGCATTACAAAATGAACCAGTTAGGTTTAAATAGTTGCTACAAGTCCAAGGCTCCTTTGGTGGCCCATCATATCAGTTTGTGTCCCCAAGAGCAATGAGGAGAATTATGTTGGAACTTGAACAATGCGACACTTTGCACTGAATGAATTAACCGCTCGCTGTCCGCCCACTGTAAATTCACAGGTGGACGGCATATGCTTCCCGGCGGGAGGATGTGCCTGCCTGTCTTAACGCGCGCGAGCAGAATCCCGCCGGGCAAGTAAACAGACGTTACCGACTGTTACATAAACGTGTCCGGCCAGCTCTACAGAAGGTCGATCGCTTGCATTTCAACGTACAGTGCGCCCCCCACACTTATCCCGGGCTCCGCTGTCCCCCCTGCGAGCCTGGGAACGGCACAGTGGCTGTCTATCCTGAGGAGAGACCGGCATTCCCCCCACCGCTGATCTCTCCTAAGGCAGAAGCGATGTGTATAACATCACTTCCACCTTTAGCTGCCATTTCTCTGGCTGCTATAGATCTCTGCTTCATCAGCTTCTTTGGGGGTCCCAAGGTGACATTAGGGGTCTTAAGAGACCCCTGATGTCTCCATAAAGAGGACTTGTCAGTGTATATTGGCTATCACATAGGGTGCTTGTTATCCCCCTATGTGATAGCAATAAAGTTAGGTGTAAAAATTAAAGTCCCATATTAAATTAAAAACACCATAAAAAAATAAATTCAAGTCCCCCGCACATATAAACGCATTGGGTGCGCCTACATGCAAAAACAACAACTACGTCACATATCGCATTAAACGCGGCAGTGAGAGCAATAATTCTAGGGCCATCAACCACTGATGACACTAAACTGATGAGTCACAAAAGATTTTAAAGGGTCACCTATGGCCAATTTCAGGTATGGTAGCACGCGCACGCAATTTTAAAGCTTGACATGTTTGGTGTCCATTTACCCGACGTGCCCTCCAACTTTTATATTTTACCAAAAAATTGGTTAATAAATGTTTAATAAATGTTTTATAACATAACATATAGGGAAAAGTTTTCATTATATAGTAGAAAATATACCCAGTGGTGATTAAATATCTCCAAAAGAAAGCTCTATCTGTCCCCCCCCCCCCCAATGGTATAAAATGTATTTCAGTACAGCGTTGCATGTCAGTCAAAGTACCTCAGCGCTAAATACTGAAAAAAGGCCGGGACATGAAGGGGGTTTAACACCCCAGTCAGCAAGTAGTTCATGGCCATCAGAGATCTCAATCCATTGGTTTACCAAAAACATAGGACAGTGGTGGAGCTTTCATTGTTAATGCAAAACCATCTCAGATTAAAAAAAAATAAAAAATAATAAGAAGTAGAATATCCATTAAATCCGCACAAGAAAAGATGACTTATCAGTCTCTCCAAAAACAAATAAATTGGTTCCCTCTAATTTTGTTATAAGTGCTGTGCCCACAGATTGCAGTCTCTAGTGACCTTACCAGTCAGCTGCATAGAAAACGTGGAAGATGACAGAAACACACAACAGACTTATGCAGTGTCCAGGGAAGTTTTTACCACAAGGAATTCCTAATGCCATCACACTTCCCTTGTGCCAAGTTGTTCTCCCTATGGTAACTGGAACAAATAATTTGGACTTTTGTACTCACTATAAATTCCTTTTAATAGAGTCCTTTGAGAGATACAGAAGTCTTTATGGTAGTTCTAAAGGCTACAACTTTAGTCTTTTTGGAAGCTCCTCAATCAGGGGAACAAACCCCAGTGCATTATTAATGGTGTGTGCAAACACGCTTTTCTCTACTGTGCCCGCTGGCCCCACGTTGCACTGCGCCGCTTGCCCTGAAGGTCCGGGTAGGAGAGAATGAGCACTGAGGACACAGTGACTGCAGAGGAGCATCCTCACTGGATGGCACGGGGGGGGGGAATTGGCTTTCCACTCTAGGCAATGTGTGGCAGTTTACCTGTGCTGGGAGCGTGAGCGCAAGAGTAACCTCTGTGGGACACCGCAAGGAGAAGGAAAGACCCAAAAACTGGATTGAAATTTAACAAAAAAAAAGAAAAAAAAGGACATGACGACACTTACCACCTTTATAAGCAAGCCACTGAAGACACCATTTCACTCTGTATATGTCATTGTTCTGAAATAAAGCCACGGGAAACAATTATGTACAAGTACAATATTTCAGCAATGGGAAAAGTGCTGTAAGTTTACGGGGAGAGTTTGAAGTTTTGGGAAACAGTCTAGACGATACACTGACCCGTCTATCGAACTAGGGAAGTCAGATTTTCTATTCAGACAGTTGTAACCTGAACACAGATTTGTCTTTTTCTCAATTTATCCACAAAAATCATAAAGCACTTAAGTCATTTAAAGCTGGCCCTATACTGGCTCCGTGGGCTGAACAAGAGAAAACTCAAGATTGTTCGGGTCCTCCGCTGGGCTATTATATTCAGACAGCGGCAGGTATGCTGCATCTGATTAGCTGCAAACGCGGTTTCGTCAGGATTTTTTGGATTGGTTCCTGTTGAATGCGGCAGTCCTGATGGGGCCACACACAGGTTTCGAGTCAGCACGACTCGAAAATAGACCAGTGCAGGGCCAGGTTAATCTTGGCACTTTGCTCTCCCCACCCCCACAACACAAAAAGCCCCATCTTCTATGTATTCAAGTGACAGAATCATGTAACCTTTCTCCAACACCAGACCTTACTTACTCCTGCAGCAGGGAGGGGGTGAGGAAACGCAGAGTACATCTTGCTAAGTGAATGGGCAGGCTGAATTAGCTAAAATGAAAATGCTCTTTGTTGTAAACTTTAAGGATGAGTTACGCCACAGTGGCTGCAGTTACAGAGGTCAGCGAGGGCTTGTTTTACATATTATTTACTGCTAAGAATATGTAAATATATCAATGCTCATAACTGGCCAATAGTTCAATCTTAAAAGGAAATGTGGTGTAGTTTTATTGCAGAAGTGACTCTGTATGCCTCTGCTACCAGAAAACCCGTTTTACCTATGAGTGGCAGTTACGTCATCTGTGGCCGACTAATAGCTGAAGACAGACCTGGAAGGAGATGGCAATGATGGTGACGAAGCAACAATGAGAAAGACCCACAGAAAGGGAAGAGTGCCATAACGTGTGAATTTTCACTATATATTCACTACAGTTCCGCTTTATGGTTAATCCATCATAGGGCAGAGCATTTGTAGAATGTTGGCTTCATGCATCATCTTGCTTATTCTCCATTGGAATACACAAAAATATTAGCTCAGGGCTTCCACAAGTGTAATGTGCCTGTCATGGGTATGTTGGGAGTGATGGGGGACAGGAGGAAACTGCCTCCTTGGATAGATATATCTATATATCTATATGGATGTCTACTAAAGAATGGAAAAAAAAACACAAGCATACCCTGCAATAAACTTGTACACATATAGAAGGTACTGGGCAAACAAAATAACAGAGCGCACGGTATAGGTTGTGATAGTCCCTGTTTGCAAGTTTAAATCCAGACACCGGAATCTGATGTGTAGAGTCACCTGGGGAGCAAGGAGACAGAAAGTCAGCCAAATAATGTAGACTTTTGTCTGGATTTGTTCATTCGCTGGCCCTAGGACCCTACACTGACAGTATACAGAAAAAGCAACTTACTTCCAGCCTGACAATGATAGCGGAAACCAAGAGGCAGCTCTCCTGAGAGAAAAGAAAATAAAGACAGAGGGTTTATTCTGGTTCATGCGCCATTCTTTCCTAGCGATTACACATAACACTTAATCCAATGCAACTATATAGGAACATCGCTGACATTACTCTTTCCCAATTAAAACCTAACTCCAGGCAAATAGCTAAACACACAGATGATACATAAGGGAGAACTCTTTGTATTTCTGTCCTTCCAGTTCTGGGATCTGTACAGTTCTGTCACACAGCACAGCTCTGTCTGGCAGGGGAGGAGACCCCAATTTTTTTCTGTTGCAGTTCAGCAAACGCTCACAGATCTTGTCCCTGCCTCAGCTAGTGCCTGCACAGTGAAAGGAGAAGCAGCAGATTTAAGAGATAATCTGTCACTCTGCCCTCCATCTCCTATTGGCAAGTTTCATCACATGAATACTGAAGCACGACTGATCGTCTGAGCTATGCTGCAGTGAATTGGATATCAGGTCAAAACATTTGTACTTACAGTAGCTCCATAAAAAAGTGAATTGTAATATTGAATATAGTAGGAAAGAATTGGGAACTCCTGCCTTCTTTGCTGCCTGTGTTCCCAATAGGAAGATCCCGCATGTCTATTTGTCATGGTGACTAGGGAAGCACTGATACCAGATTTTCGGTATGGAGTACGAGTTACCGATATTTTTTGGTACTCGCTGATACAGAGTAACCGATACTGGTACTTCCGCTAGCATGGAGCCGGCTTCCCGGTCAATCAGGAAGCCGCGTGGCGTGCCATTACCCGCCGCCCGTCTTCTTGGTTGCCCGGGAAGCCAGGTCCATGCTGTTTGGCCGGCTCGAGGATGAATGGTCGGGAAGCCGGCTTCCCCGCCAATCAGCGTTGAGCCGGCTACCTGAGCAATCAGGAAGCTGGAAGGCGGGTTATTACCCGCCACCCTGATTGGCCGAGAAGCCGGCTTCATGCTGTTAGGCCGGCTTCCCTGCCAATCAGAAAGCCAGGCGGCTAGTCATTAACAGCCGCCAGGCTTCCTGATTGGCTGGAAGCTGACGCCATGTTCCCTCATGGCACTGACTGTCAGAGGAAATCTCACTGTGACCACAAGTTCCGGTATCGGGGAAGGTATCTCAGCATTTGGGCGTACCTGGTATCGGTGCATCCCTACTGGTGACCCTTGTCACCAAGACAGAAAGGAGATGGTAAATCCAAAATGTTACCATTCTCAATAGAACAAGAGTTCAAATTAGGATAACTGTTCTGGTGACAACTGTTTGAGAGGATTTCCTCTTGTTAACATAAGCAGAGGGAATACGTAAAAATGTTAACCGTGCCCAAGTGGTACCCTAAAAGATTGACCTTTCTTCTTCATTTCCTCCTGACAGCAAAGCATTTCCTGTACCTTGAGTCTCAGCTTTAGAACTGTAGTGTGAGATCTAAGGCACTGCTACCTCTGACCGCTTGTCCCAGCAGATTTCGTATGAGATCTGGTGACACTAGTACCGGGCTTCTCACTGTTCTCTTTACTGGGGAGAAAACTATACTTGAGGACCCGCAGGGCAAGAATCTCCCCAATTCTGCTACATTCATTCTGAACAGTTTTTCCATCTCTTCTGCTGCTTCTTAAATATTCTCCTACAAAATTATCTGGGGGGGCAGCTCTGACACGAGGAAGCAAAGTCCCATCTTTACCTAGTTGGCTGCCTCTATAAAGAAACAGTGCATAAAAAGGCATACTAAGTCAGGTCTGTAGCTACCATGGGGCGAGTGAGGCACTCGCCTCAGGCGCAACTGAGTGGGGGCGCAGTCAGGGCCGCCCCCTCGCCCTGTTGCCATGGTGAGCACAGGGTGCCATTGGCAACAGGGGAGCCAGACGGCCAACACAGCCCTCTAAAAATGTTTTCATTAGGTTTCGTCAAACGAAAAACAAATTTTTATGCTATTTTGGATTTGGCCACCAGCCTGGAGGCGGGGCACATGGCGTCACATACCGCACACGTCTGTCGGGGGCACAAAGGGAGCTAGCTACGGCTCTGTACTAAGTTAGTAACGGGGAAACATGGAAGTACAGGGAGACCACAGGCAACACCGGCAGGGCAGCCATCAGGGGGGCCCTTACATGACTATCGGCCGACGGTGAAGGGCAAGGAGGGGGAGGCCTGGCCCTAGCAGCGCAGGGCCCCAGCATTGCAGCTCCAGTGGCTTTGAGACAAGCTAGGGCCCCATCAGCTACGCTGCTCGTCTGATGTCGGACTGGCCGGATGTGACATCACTTCTGGCCGGTCCGGTGGCAGACGAGGCCATGTGTGCAGGTAAGAGGAGCTAGGAAGGAAAGGAGGGATGCAGCCCTGAGCAGCCCACCTGAGCCCCATTCAGAGCCCACCATAGACAGTCTCAGATGGGCTGTGCAGCATCTATGGTGGGCTCTGCAGGGTCACTCTCAGGTGGGTCCTGTGTCCAGCGTGTCACTAAGCCCTGCGTCCAGCGCGTCACTAAGCCCTGTGTCCAGCGGCGCGGGGGGTGGGTTTCTGGCCTTAAAATTTCTGATGGCTGCACTGAACACCGGTGTTTGCAAGCCATGTCCAAAAAGGAAAGCAGAGGATAAAATGACTAGTGTTGTGCCCCTCTTTCAGTCAGAACACATGAGGGCTCATGTCTCAGGTCAGTGACTCAGAGCGGAAGACAGTGGGAATAGCATTTCCAGCAGTTGAGCAATGGATACCCCCTGTATTTCTCTGTCGGGTTTGCTTTAATAAAATTTCCCTTAAGTGCATGAAAAAAAAAAAGAAGAAGCAAATCACTGACTCATATGAAACCAAATAATCTTGTATATCTAAGAAACGTCTTTTTTTTTTTTACCTGGATCAATGAAATCATGGAATGAATCCAAAATTCCCTCTTTCAGTGAGTAGCGCACGCAGCCAATCTCACAGGGAACAAACCTCTGCTCGCATAAACTGGGCATCTCCCCGTGGCTGAAAATATTCATGACTAAGATCACTTTGTTCTCCAAATCTAGAAATCATTACAAGAATGTCATTAGATTATATACTAGGGACCACTTGGTTAAAAGCAAGGAGTCATGGTAGAGTTACCAACACATGCCAATCTGTACAGAAAACGTCACATCCTGTCATACTCCAACATGTGCATTTGCTGCCAAGATTTGAGAAAAAGCTGGTCTTGCAGGTCAGAAACCAGGAACAGCTCACACCACAACGCAGTGCACTGTAACGCATTTGTTTTGGTGCTTTGAGGCGCGATGTGTTAGGCAGCTATTTAATCTTGAAAGGGCTGTCAACACACGAAAAAGTATAACACATAAATCAAAGCATTGTGGTGCGCTACAACAGATATCTTGCAATGTTCTATTGATGTGTGTTGGGAAGGATTAACAATGAAGGACACCCACAGCATCACACGTACAACTTGTATTCCATATTTCGTTAAAAACATCGCTCACAGAACGTAAAGCCTGCCTCCAACTGCCCAACCTGTATGAGTTTGGTACCGTACTTGCATCCTCTGGTGCTCTGTATGCTATAGCTACTAGCATACATGTACCTTTAAAGAAAGACAGAGGCAAAGTCCGAATTGGCCATTATTCACTGTAAGCCAGCCCAACACAGGCCCCATGACTCTGGGTAGTAGCCTCTCGACTTTGTCAGGGGGCACAAATAAATCCCCTTGCAGAGATTCTAGACCTTAGAAAAGCCTTGGTTAGAATTTTAACCCTTGAGAAACCCTTTGAACTAATAATAAAGATGTCTTGCTGCACTCCTTACCAGAAATGATGACCTGGAGGTGGGTGCGCTAGCAGTGACCAGGGAATGGCGCCGTGATATACATGTAGTTTTCAAGGAATGTCACCAGCACACCGTAGTATTTTGTGCAATCATATATGTCTATTAACCCCTTCATGACGGAGGCCCCGCCCCCCCCCCCCCC